CATGATCCTGCCAAATCAAGACGTCATCAAGCTATGCCTTTGTTTTGAATAAATGACTTCTAGTGGCAACAATTACATAGTATGGCTTTAATTTTGAAAATAAACAATGAATGAAATAGCATGTGCCATTAGTTGGTTTTCTTTTAATTACTTTAAAGTACCGATGAAATTACCTACTTTTATTTTCCAATCCATTCCAACTTTATTTGCTTAGCACTTTTAAACAACCAAAGTTGACCAAAGTGCTGTACAGAAAAATAATCACATTTTGAACATATATCACGGGAAAAGCATATGCCATAGTTGTACCATGGTATTCTTTAAAGTGCCTTGAGTACATTTTATAGATGTATTTTGTAGCATTGTACCATGTAAATATATGGTATATGAATACAGTAATCATCCAGTGCTTTATTGTAAGGGTACAAGCAATAGAAAGGGGACAGAGATTGTCAGGGACCGAGAAAACGAAACAAAAGAAGCAAATCAAAGGGGGGCAATGAGGACGGGACCACCCTTAATTCAATTACACTCCTCTCCACATAAATCACGTCCACACCCCGGATCGAGCACGCTATGCGATGGATATTTTTATGTGCGGTGTGCTGGCAGCAAAGACAATGAGATGAGCATCTGTTTGTCTGTCTCTCCATTTGTGAGGGCTTAAACTCTCACCTGCTATTTCATCACTCTCTCACGGGGCCTCGCTTTCGATGGCACAAGCTAGAACAGGCACTGTGCATCTCACAAGGGGTTTCTGAGGTTAAGTCCACTGTGCACAAGCTCATCTGACATCCCAGTAATGTAATCTAACTCTCACACGGCTCGACAGAAGCCCAGTGAGCCTGAGAGTATCCACTGCACGTACAACAGCGTTTATTACCAGAGCGAGACCGAGACGCAGCCATCAAACCACTTCAGAGTTCGTATTCGCTCTTAAAGGGGTTAGTTCACCCAAAAGAGATCATAAAACTAATCCAAACGAATTGAGCGGTTTGGTCCAAATTTTCTGAAGAGACACTATCACTTTATATGATGAACAGATTCAATTTAGGCTTTTATTCACATATAAACATTGATCAGCGAACATAAACAGAAGCTCAACCAAACCTGCTTAATTAATACGCAGAATAAAGGGGCGGAGCCTGGTTGAGTTGGTTAGTAGTGTGTTGAAACTGGTAGTTATGGTAAGGGGCGGGACATTTCCAGTTGACCAATCACAACACACTGCTCTAGCCGACCAATCAGAGCACATTGAGCTTTTCAGAAGGAGGGGCTTCATAGAGACAGGAACTAAAAAGAGCGTTACTGACAGACTGTGAAAAGAGGAGCTGCAATAATGTACAATATGGGGAAAATAATGTGTTTTTTGATCATTCAAGCATGAAAGCCTGTTCTAGTAGAGCCCAAAAACAAAATCAAGACTTTGTAAAAGGGCATAATGCGGCCTCTTAAATAAATAAGTGACGCACGAGAATGAACCTCTTTGGTTCTTGCTGAAGCTCAAACGATTTACTAAACAGGGCAAATTAGTGTGAGAACGCAATCCCATAAAAGCGCAGATGGGAGTGGGAAGTTCTGCTCGTGATCTACTGACGTTAACACAGACGCAGCCGGATCATTTCCATAATGACCAACACCATCTAACAAGAGCAGCGCAGATTAGCGTCTGGTTTAAAACATGTTTTTTTGGGCGGTAAATAATAGCGCAAACACCAGTCAATTGACTAGCGCAAACCTTAGTAAATCACCTTGCGTGATTCATTTAAATACTCTCCTCCCAAACATTGTGTGTCCGAAAGGGAAACTCCTACAAATGCATATGCAATAAGGTCAGCCGCTAAAATAACCCTGTCCACGCATTTTCAGCGCTAATATTTCACTGTCTTTAGTAAATCCTGACCGCAGTTTTTTTACGCCAAAAGAGGGTTTACACTGGCGACAGCTGTTAGTAAATCTGGCCCTTAGTCTTTCACTCAAAATATTCATAAAAATCTAACCTTTAATTAAAGTCAAATAGAAATATATGTATTCCACGATAATTTAATACTTTGTGCAACCTCCCTTTCCCAAGATAACAGCTCTAGATCTTCTCCTATAATGTGTTATAAGGTTGATAAACATAAGACAAGAGATCTGCGACTCTTCCTCCATACAGAATCTCTCCAGATCCTCCAGATTCAGAGCTCCATGCTTGTGGACTCTGTTCTTCAGCTCGTCCCACAGGTTTTTATGTATGTGGTTTGGGTCAGGGGACTGCTATGTCCACAGCAAAACCTGTGAATTATTCTGTTCATTTTGAGATGTGCTCAGTGTCCAGTTTAAGCTTCCTGACAGGCTCAGTCCGGTGTTAATTTAAGATCTGCTGGGGTTTATGATACCATGTGTCCTAACACAACTTGTCCAGAGTCTTTGGGAGAAAATTAGCCTCCTAGCATTACAGATCCACCAACATACTTCATAGTGAGGATCAGGTACTGTTCAACATGGTGTTTTTCCAAAAAGCTTTATTTTGGTCTCATCTGACCATAAAACCCAGTCCCACTGAGGTAGCAGTAACGCCTTCATGAGATGCTGTTTGATGACACAAAAGGCTTTTTACTGCAACCTTCCCAAACAAGTTGTGGTTTTATAGGTGAGGTCTGATCATAGTTTTGGAGACTTTCTGACCCCAAGACCCAACCAGCATCTGCAACTTTGATCCTTACAGTTTGTTTGGCAACTGGGGCCAATATAGACGCGTGTTCTCTTCCAGGATAACTAATAAATAAGCGTAATAAATAGCTTAAATTTTTTTATTGAAGTCTGAGAGTATTTGAAGCTCGTAAATGTGTTACAAAATTTTGGTATTTAATTTTGGCATCTCTGGAATCCAGCAAATGTTGCATTGTAAAAAGTACTTTACTACTTTGCTGCAATTCTTCTATTAGAGAGGGTTTTAGCACAGTCAGGATAGACGTTTGTTTGGTGGTTGTGAAACCACAAAATATACACTCATTAAAATGCTTTGGGACAATAAGGTATTTTCTTCTCACACAGAAATCAATACTTTTCATTTATTTTATTTTAAAAATCCTGAAAATAAAAAATAAATCACAATTTCCACAAAAATATTAAGCTGTTTTCAACATTGATGATAATCATAAACGTTTCTTGAGCAGCAAATCATCATATTAGAATGATTTCTGAAGGATCATGTGACACTGAAGACTGGAGTAATGATGCTGACAATTCAGCTTTGCTAAATGCAAAGAAAAGAAATATACTCAAACTGACTAGTTGACTTCAATAATTAGTTGCATGAGTGGTTGACTAGTCGATCCAGGGTTATTATAATTAACTAAAGCTAAAACCATAAAAGAAAACATTTGTGTCACTTGAAATAAAAGCGTTAACTAAAATAGTTAAAACTGATATAACTAAAACTGTGTATATATATATATATATATATATATATATATATATATATATATATATATATATATATAACTATAAGTTATAACAAAAGAAACAAAAAACCAAAAGTACAAAAATGCTACAAAATTACTAAAATTGTAAAATTAATATATATACTGTGTATGTATATTAGGGGTGGAACGATACATGTATTCGTATTGAACCGAAACGGTACGGGCGTCACGGTTCGGTACACGGAGAATACACGGTATAAAAATTAATTAATGTAATGCGGAACTACTGTTAGATACGCGGGTTCTTTAGGGACACGTAATCTGTACCATCGAACTTTCTCTGAACGCGTTCACTTCAAACGTTGGCTTTATACGCGCGTCCTCTTTGGACTAGCGTCGAACTAGAACCATCGCAGCCCATTATGCGGTCACACCAAACGCGAATAGAGCATCAAATTCGCGTTTGGTGTGACCGCATAATGGGCTGCGATGTCAAGATTGCAATGCTGGAGTGTGTGTGTGTGCGCGAGAGTGAGAGGGAGAGGCGCGGGCGCGATCGAACTGTGTGTGTGTGTGAGAGAGAGAGAGAGAGAGAGAGAGAGAGAGAGAGAGGCGCGATCGAACAGTGGAAACATAAAAAAAACATACTCCGTCATTTTGTTCATACAGATCATTAAACCTGCAAAGTGTTTACTTATATTTGTGTACACTCGCAATAAAACACAACATTGTGCTTTTGTCACACCGTAAACTCTTGTCAAACTGTAACCTACAACTGTCACCCAACCAAAATCTCACACACATACACACACACACACACACACACACACACTGTTTTAAAAGCAAAACATATTTATCCAACTCCATTTCAAAACAGTCTGTGGGTCCCATCTTTTGGACATTCTCATCATATTGCATTGGTTTTCATTTATTGCCCGCGGAGCACTAATCTTACACATTCTACATTGATTAAAAAAGAATATCGAATGTGTTTTTAATGGTAGTATTATTTTATACAGAAATCAATTATTTATAATTCAGATGAGAATAATGTTACATTGTTAATTAATAATAAATAAAATTAATTAACAAATATATTGATCGGAAATATAGCAAATACATTTTTAATTAATTCAGGTACAATTACCAAACATATCTCAAGGTCTTTTTGTCTTTTTATTAATTTAATTAATAAACTAATTATATAAAACTATTGTCAGTGCACTACAAATAAACTGGTTCTATACCTTTATTAATAAAACTTATTTAAAAAATACAATGCCTTCTGCATTTTTGTTTTGCTTTTCCCTCCATTGTACCGAAATCGTACCGAACCGTGATGTCTGAACCGAGGTATGGACCGAACCGTGACTTCTGTGTACCGTTCCACCCCTAATGTGTGTGTATATATATATATATATATATATATATATATATATTAAACAAACAATTCAAAACCTCAAGGATACTTAAACAACTCTGTGTTGACCAATTCGTTCCCATCCCTTTAGCATTGCTGATAGTTCAGTTTGAAACAGGAAGAGGAATAAAGACTTCACAGAACTAAAGTGTTTCTCTGTTTTCTTACAGACTCATGGACCAGCTACTATGAGGTTATTCAGCAGTTCCCGGACTCTCCTCCCTCTCCTCAAGAACATTGTCCGTCACTGTCCCGCTGACTGTCAATGGACCAGAGCCCTCGCCCCGTCCTGCAAACTCCACTCCTGCAGGGTCCTGTCGACGGACGCCTCCGCTCCTCAGACACGCGTTACTGAAAACTCAGTGGAAGTTTTCAGCCATGTCTACCCACGAGATGACATGACCAATGTGACGGCTAAAATCTTGTCTAAAGTTGGCTGTCAGCTCCACAACCGGCCGCACCACCCCTTGTGGCTTATTAAGGAACGCATCAAAGACCATTTCTACCGCTCTTACATCGGTCGCACCGGAAACCCACTCTTCTCTGTACATGACAATCTCAGGCCAGTGGTGACAGTGGAGCAGAACTTCGATAGCCTGCTCATTCCTCCAGATCACCCCAGTCGGAAAAAAGGAGACAACTACTACCTGAACCGCACACACATGTTGCGGGCTCACACCTCGGCCCACCAGAAGGAGCTGGTGCGTTCGGGACTGGACTGCTTTCTGATGGCTGGAGATGTTTATAGACGAGATGAGATCGACTCCAGACACTATCCTGTCTTCCACCAGATGGAGGGAGTGCGGCTTTTCTCCAACCATGAGGTCAGAATAGTGTCTGCTAGTTAGTCCTCTTAGAAAAGTGTTGGCCGTGAAGTGAAGAAAAAAAATGTTGTCCATTGAACTATAAAAATAGTACTTGCTATTTGTGGGCCAATATTCTGAAAGTGACCCAATGTATGAGGAACTGTGTGAATGATCATGGGGTAAAACATGGTTTATATAGATGAACATTAATTACAGCAATGTCAAATGTCATTTACCTTTTTATTATTGTATTTTTATTACGGTTTTAAAAGTAGAACTTTTTACTTGGTATACGCAATCTTGATGTCTTTTTTTTTTTTCAATGTCATAAGATGGTTTAAAAGCATATTGCAACCCACAACCTTTAAAAAAAAGTCAACTAATACATTTTTTTGGGATATTTAGAGTTGGCATGAAATGGAAATCTAGTTTCTAAATGCATCTTATTGAGAGCAATTCATCAGTGCATATGTAAAAAAAAATTGTACATACGTAAATATCATAACTGGGTCTTCCAGTGGAATGACAGACTGTCAGTGAAATCTTGCAGTTGATTGTAAGAAAGGGGTGGGATTAAAGCGGACTAAATGATTGGAGAAGTCTGGTTAATGTGATGTAAACCCCTCCCCTTTCTTACAATCACTTTCAGATCTGCTTCCATCCAATGAACAACCAAAGCATTGAACCATTTCTTCTTTCTATATAATCTAGCATCTCTATTCACATGGACATACGCCATAATATGGAAGAAAAGATGTTTAAATTAAAATATTCAATACTATTGTAAATAAAAGAATAAAAGACAAAATAATTATGAAGTAACATAACTATAAAACATTAAAATAATAATATTAATACTACTACTACCATTTCATCCCGACTTCAAAATAATTTAAACGTTTACATAAAAATATTCAATGCTTTTGTATATAAAACCGTAAAAGTGTATCAATGATAAATTAATATACATATTAATGATATTCATAAGTATTATAATCAGGGCTTGACATTAATACCCACTAACCCACCAAATGCGGGTGAATTTCAGTAGTGGCGTGTAACACAGTCACTCGCAGTATTAAAGTGACAGCAGCCTAATATACCTGCTGCAAAATTATGAGATAATATTAAAAGTATCTATTTGGCAGTTTTTCCACATGATATTGATGTCAAAATTCTGGCTAGTAACTTTGGAAATCCACTAGCCACAGTGGCTGGTGAGCAAGAAAGTTGATGTCAAGCCCTGATTATTATAATAAAATAATGATAATACTAATAAAACATTAAAATAATACTATTAATAAATATTACTACTAGCCAGTCGAGTTAAGAAATATCCTTGTTTGGTTTCATTGAACATTCCAATGCATTTTAAGACATGAATTGAATTCAGCGAATTGAATCAAATATTTATTTGTCAATTTGAAGAGTTATGTATGCGTGCGTTTTATTTATTTATTGTATAAATTATTAGTGCGTTGATAATGAATACGCTGATAATTGAAATGGTTTTATTTCTGAGCAAAAAATGATTCCCCGTGTCAATCAGTCGCGTGATTGGCTGATCTTACTCCCAGTTGTAACAGTCTTAAACTGTTATAGAAGAAGGTATTTTCCAGAAGCCCTTGTCTATCCGTGTAGAAAAAGCTGTTTATTTAAAGCATCCAGACTGTAATAAATAGGTTGTTTGAGGACAGGTGTCAGAAGTCATGATGAAATCTTAACGTAATCTTTCTGAACAAACTTGTTTTCACCCTTCCTCTCTCTATCAGCTGTTTGCTCGAGTGGAGAATGGTGAAGACCTGTGTTTGTTCGAGAGCGCTGGCCGCCGCACGCCTCAGAAACAGCAAACACACACGCTGGAGGCCGTCAAACTTGTGGAGTTCGATCTGAAACAGGCACTCACGCGCCTCATGCGACACCTTTTTGGGGAAGGTAGGAATCCTGTGATGTTCTCACTTTATTTCCCGCTCACTCCCTCTGTTCAGCTCTCCTCCATCTGTGTGTTTCTGTCTTGCAGATTTGGAGATCCGCTGGGTGGACTGCTACTTTCCTTTCACACACCCCTCCTTCGAGATGGAGGTGCGCTTCCAGGGCGACTGGCTGGAGGTGCTGGGATGTGGAGTGATGGAGCAGGAACTGGTCCGCTCAGGTTCGGAAACACACACCAACACTCACTCACACAAATGTGTTTTACGTCTTTAAGTTTGTCAAGAGATTTAAAGCACCGTTTTTGAAGATTGCGCATGTGCAAACGTACTCCACTATGTGTAAGGAGCCTATGATTGAATCTGGAAATAAAGTGAAATAACATAGAAATATGAGAAATATTCCTCAGATGCCCTGTCTGTAATTTATAGCAAAACATCTAGCATTAATTCGATCTCAAACAGTTTCATTAAAATAAGTTATTTCCGGGGATACCCCTGGACCCCCCTAGGGAGGGCCCCCACAAAATAAATACCTATTTAATGTGTCGTCCCCCCCCAATGTTAAACTCATTCCTACGACCCTGCTCACACTTTAAAGCAACACCAAGGAACTTCTCCTCAGCGGTCGCCCTACAGGTTGGAAGCAGAATTGTCCATTACCGCTGTCGTAAATAATTTAGCCTAGCGCAGCCTACGGCCGCACGCGCACGCTCGCTGTTTATCCAGCACCAGCTTTGGAATCAACAATGGCAGACATCCCAACCTGCAAGAAGTCATTTCAGGGAGGTATATCTTGGTGACTGGATAGTTGACGGGGGGGGGTCGGCTTGACTAGCTTTCGTGAGGCACACTCGCAAGGTCTCTCGCTCTCTCCCTCTCTGCCGTGCTCGCGCTATGTATGTTATGCGCGCAGTGTGTTCTGTCTCGCATGCGCGCTCTAGATTCCGGCAGATTTGAACTAATTTGCGGGCATCAGGGAGACGCTATAGACTTGGGATGTCTGCAATGGCCAATAGACAATTTGAGGAAGTGGTGGGGGAAGTGACGTATGCCGTAAAGCAGTCGAGTTTTGTAGTTCTTTTTGTGCTCGGGTTACTACCCGAAACCCGAAGTTACATAGTGCGAGTAAAAGCGATACAGACCACGTCAGGCTATGGCAGACGTGTCATTTAACCTATTGTAAGTCGATGTACCATCACAAGGGTCTTGGAAATATATTATGAAGGTTGAAAAGTTACATAGTGTTGCTTTAAACAAGCTAGAACCATTTTCAGTTGGAACTGCTGATTTGAAGGGACTAAAGCCCTATTCGGACGGGATTAACTTTACAAGGGTCGATGGAGTAATGTAATATTACCACAGGACGTCTGTAATATCAATGGGCAATTCGCACGGGATAAGATATCTCAGTAAAACTAGTAGAAGTGGGACGGGTAACTCTTGCGCACCGGCGTCACCCTCCTGTCGTCATGTGTGTATTACGGTGCTTCCTGATATCACGTGCGCAAACACAAATAACCTATATATACAGTATAAAACAGTTAGCTCCGGTCGAACGATGTATTAATTAACTTCAGATTGGATTATGTTGGTAATAGGCACTTACCTAACGCTAAAAGATGTTTCGTGCCTCTAACAAGTGCTTTCGACTTTTTTTTTTTTATCTGCATGGTGTGTGGAAATAGGGCTGGGCAAAAAAATCGATTTTTCGATTAATCGTTTTTTTAAATGTGGTCGATTCAAAATCGATTCTCAACGGCCACGAATCGATTTTTTTCCATATTCAGGGCTCGCGGTGCTGCGTCTCTCTCTCTCTCTCTCTCTCTCTCTCTCTCTCTCTGCACGAGGCAAGCGTCAAGCGCTGCAGGCGTCGATACACTCGTGTTTAGGAGTCGGGACATGACGGAATATTCACTAGCACAATCGGGCCAGCATTGCATCGTAACTAATGTTTATCATGTCCACGTCTTTTTAAGTTTTACCAGTTTAAACATTCAAGCAATTTTAAACTATCCAGTGCTCGCGCACTCTCAGAGATGTTTTTCATTGCGTGCACATACAGTAAAGCCTAAATCCGCCTCACAAACAGCTCGCCAGTAACAAAAGTTATTTTTCGTGGATTATATCGCTTCAACAGTTAAAAACACGCAAAATTATATCAAAACTCTGGTCTTGGTGAGTAACCTCGTAAAGACAGTCGGTTATGTCTTAAATAAGCATAAAACGCGTGTGACAGACAGTATGAAACAGTAATGGATCCGTGCACTAGTTCTTAAAGTGAACGCAGCCATATGTGTCTGTCATTAATTTTGTTTTCAAAACAACATAATATAGCATTAATTGTAAGGAATCAGAATTAATAGCCTATGTATTTAATTCAGTCAGGACTAAAAGACTATCCAGTGTTATTTTACATTGGATTACTTTATTCAGTTTCTGTAGTATTTCTGACCTACCCAAAAACTTTTCTTTTTATGTCTCTTTATTTGTGTCTTTATTCTATTGTATTTATTTGTGCTACTTTTTTCAATTTAATTCAAAGATTGAAGTCAAGCTTCCATGTGTTGCATAAACTCTTAACAAAAATTGTAAAAACAAACATTTAGGTGAGATCAATATAATAAAAAATTGTCTAAAAAATGATAACTGGTATTTATTTATCTATCTATCTTAAACATAAAATAACCTGATCCTGTTTGATCAAGGCGTGCGACTGTTCTGACTTGTCCAATTTTCAGCATCAATCTTGCATCAAAATCCTATCTATTCATTGTAGGCATTTAGTGTATACTAATCACTAAATGCCTACAATGAATAGACAGGATTTTGATGTGAAAAAGACACTTTAATGTCTCCGTTTGTCATTTTGTATAGCAAAGCAGATGAGAGTAGATCATGATCAGAAACCCGATTAGAAATCATTATGGATAAAATCGAATCGTTTTAAATCGAAAATCTTTGTGAATCGAAAATCGATTTTGAATCGAATCGTGGCCTCAAGAATCGGAATCGAATTGAATCGTGAGATGGTAAAAGATTCCCACCCCTATGTGGAAAACACTTTTGCCACAGATTTGTCCCAGCGTCTAGAACGCAACTGAATGCTTTTTCAAGCGCCTCCATACATGAAAACCCGCGGAAAACTACTTTTAAACAGGAAATTATGAAATATTTACGTACATCTATTCCATACCTGTCAACACTCCCGTTTTTCCCGGGTTTCTCCCGTTTTTTAGCCCTATCTCCCAGCCGGACCCCTCCCGGTTTGTTATTTCTCCCGGTAAACTCCCGTAATTTGCATGGCCCAAACTCATTTATGAATAATCGGACCAATATGTTTGTCTAATGTTGACCAGTTGCCAGATCTTGTATTACATGCATTATTTTCACACAATCCACACATATATACAATTTCAACCCGTTTGTCATGCTTTACCGTTTGTCAATGACTTTACCCCACCTCTCCATGTTAAACTAGTCCCGTCCGAATAGGGCTATGGTCAGACATCAAACAGAAAGTTCAACAGTATGCAAATTAGCAGTGAGACGATACAGCAACCACCAATGAGAGTATAGATCGGGGAGTTGACATGATTCGTCTTGTGATAAAGTTTAATGCAGCCATTGTGTGGAAATGACCGATCTCAAACGATCTTGACCTCCGCTGATTTAATTGCTGTCGGTCGTCAGGCTTCATGCGGAGTCAAATGATACCGCTCAGATTACTGATCCCAAACATGAGCACTAGGGCCTGTGATACTGCGCAACGCTAGACATTTTACCATATCGATACATATTTTTGCAGGGTTGTCTACTGTAGGCAAAACTGTTTTAAGTTATTTAAACGTGAGATTGATACAGAAGCCCATTTTATCAACATAAGAAAACAATCATGCTTCGGTAAATCATAACTATGACACAAATAATCATAATCATGGCATAAAAAGTAAAATGAGATATTAAGATTATTTATGAGATAAAAAAAGTCGTACGAAGTCATAATTATGAGATAAAGTCAAAATTATGAGATAAAAAGTCAGAATTATGACAAAAAGTTGTTGAGTTGTCATAATTCTTTTTTTCGCTCATAATTTCAATCTTTTTAATGTCATAACTATGACAATCTCATAATTTAGTATCTCAATTTCAGTTTTTATGTCATGATAATGATAACATAATTATGATTTAGAAAATAGAAATAGGCTTTCATATGTTGAAGCAAAACTGTGAAGTATTGCAGAAATACAGAGTGGGACGCATCCCAAACAAGTCAAGATGAGGAAGAACTTGGTTTTTAGAATTCAGAGTCTCAACTATTTGTGTTATAACATTAGATTTATTGTTTCTGGTGAATAATCTTAGAATAACTCTATGTCCACCAAGTTCCAAAAAAAAAAAAAAAAAAAATAGACATTACCACGTGTTTTTTTTGTTTTTGTATTTTTATTTTACATATGGTTTTCTAGCAAAACAACTACATCATAACATGCTTTCACCATTATATAAGATTATTAAAGGTCCACTTTAAGCATGATTGAATAGTGCATGCCATGCGAAGCTCGCTAATGCTTGAGCCTGTTGCTGAACTATAAACTCTAATGCACAAAATAGCACACACATGTCCCGTCATCTCTATGCCCACAGTACAGTGGCCACACCTTTGAGCCGCAGAGAAAGGCGTTCTGCCTCTGCCAGTAGAGAGCGCTGTTGTGCAGTGTTGTGAGGCATCCAGCCCTGATGAAGTGGATGGGATAGTCCCACACGAGGGAGATCCAGTAAGGGGGAGGGGGAGGACACGCGTGACTGCAGAGACATGGTTTTTCTCCCTCGGGATGGTCCCAGTATGACCACTCCTCCTCCTCCACTGGCCCAGTCATCTCACTCCTCACTGCCACTTAATTCTTCAATCTCATCTGCTCTCTTCATCGATCCTGTGTGTGTTAAACAGCACACACTCCCCCGCCGTCTGCATGTGGAACATGTGACAGCCAATTAACAACAGTGCCACTCAACAGCGAGCGATCGCTTATTCCTCACTGCTGTTCCCTGGTAAAGAAAAGAGTCCTGTTGCCTGGCATTTACAATGAAGACCCATCCTTTTCTGAGAAGAGATTTACACATTCCACCTCTGGCTTTTCCTTTTTGCCATTTTTAATCATACATTTTTAGTTATTTAGCATGGTGATTTACTAATAGTTATTTATAATTATTATGAACTTTT